ATGTTGCTACTTATATACTTAACATGGTGGATGAGGTGGGCCAGCCTCACAGACCCTGACACTGGCCAACAAGCTGAGAACAGCAGAAGCACTTGAAGCTTTCCTTCTCATGGACATCTGGTTTTAGCTCTCGTTGTCACTCATCCATGGTCTGTCTTTTCCTTCTCTTCTTGGCTGCTGTGAATCTACGCTGCTCTTAAAAAACACGGGGTGTATGAGACAGTGTATGTGTGTGCAGTCTTAATGAGTAATCCCAACTTCCAGTAAACTCTTTGATCATTAACAAAGTTCATTTTAACAGCAACTTTTGCTATTAATTAGCAATTCAACTACTCGAAGCAATTTATAACAGCACAGCTGCAACTGCTAACTGCTGTTTGAGCATCACAATGCACTGCTGCAGAAGATGAACCATGTCAGATGGCTTGACCTCACAGTTTTTGTCTTTGAAAGCAGTCCCTTGTAGTTTCATGACAAATGTGAATAAAGATGAGTTCGCACTAGTGATTATTAATTTGAAACTTTACTGCTGAAACTTGAAGATGTCCTACTGCCTGTTCCTCAGTAGCCAGTTATTGCTGCTTTTAGTGTTTACAGATACTGATTTCAATCTGATCCATTAGGAGTTTTAGTATTAATTATTTTAAATCTGTTTTGGAGAGCATAGGCAGCTCTGTAAATGTCCTTGTGCACTTCCCTTTATTCTTCTAATAATCTTATCTCTTAGAATATTTTTTAAAATACGGTGTTTAGCATAGTCTTACCAGCTTGGAAACATTAAACAGTTTTATACACAACCTTAAAAAAAGGTAAATCAGTTTCTTTATAGTTTTTTGATCAAGAACAGCCAAAATAATTTTTAAACATTAGGCATATCTGAAGAGAATTACTTTATTTGAATTAGCAGTTAAGATGTAGTTTGGTCTGATGCTGTGGTTTTTTCTGCTTCTCTTGAGTTTTTGAAGTGATGATATCAGAGGTATAAGGTATATTAAGAGCTATAAGGTGATAATCTAGGTAAGGGTGCTGTGCTTTATATCTACAAGTGCAATATGCTTTTATGTAGCAGAGAGAAACTTTTACGTTAATAATAATGTTGCTTGCAGTGAGATGTGCATGTGACAACTTGGGAAAAGGGGTATCACAACTGGAGTGCAACAGTGTATTTTTGTGTCTAGCAGAGTAAAATCTTTAAAGAACTGAGTTTAGACAGTCTAAAATAAATTATTAGTCAGGAAACCCATCTTATACCTATTTTGCAAAAATACTGTTATGGAAGTCAACTATTGTAGAGAATTAATGGATGAAATACTTTTTAAAATATATATTAACAAATACTACTCTTCTAACTTGAGGCTATTGGGTGAGAAATACTCGGATGAAGCATTCAAGGGAATATTAGCATAAATCTTGCTTCCTGTATGACTGCATTTTTAATTACCATACTTGTTAAAATCCGATGCTGCCATAAGGCTAAGGCCTGTTACCACAGAGGGGTTCTGAACTAAAAGATGTGTGCACACGTAGATATGCACATTTGCATTATTTATTCTACAAAATAATTTAATTACGTTGGGGACCAGATCTTGGGAATTTCTCTATTATACTTTGTTAAGGAACGTGCATAGCATATGGCACCCATTTGAGCCTGACTTATGGTACAGTTGTCAAATTTATCATAGACATTAAGAGAGATAAGCAACTTACTCTCCTGGTATGTATGGCCTAATGTGTAAATCTGTATTTAACTATTGAAAAATCCATTTCTGAATGTATATAGCTTAGAGCTTTTTTTTTTTCCCCTTTGTTAACCCTTTGATATCAATGAGATACTCTTCAGAAAATATATAGACTTTTTAGTTGCATAAAGGCAGTTACTACTTGGGCTGAAAATTGTTACTGGTAAGGGACTTCCTACTAAAACATATGCAAATATTCCTAATTACACACCAGTTTGGTTTCTGTTTGCTTTTTGAGCTTGCATTAATCCATGTTCAAAACTTTAAAATAACCTTTGAATTTTTAAAAATTTTTATATCACTGGAACAGAGCATCTGAATTAAAGCTTCAAGCTAACTTTATTTTTCAAGTATTTCAAGAATTATACTTCTGAGATTTTATAAGTTGACTTTCTGCTGAGCACTTACACGAACTTGTTAAAATGTCATTTTGTAATGATGCAAACAGGTTGTTAATTGCAGCATATTGACGCTTGCAATTACAATATAAACTAATGCAAAAATCATTTAAATAGTGAAAAAGTAAACGTTGTATTCTGTACAGCTTTTTTTTTTTAATTAAGTTGCTGTAATTCACACTGCTGTGATGTAGGTACTGTAATGTGTGCCTTGTAAAATACATGTACTGTATGTTATATTGGATAAGAGGTACATTAACACTAAATAGTTAGTAATTTTGTACTGGTTGGTATTAGCTAGTCTGAAGTGCTACATTTAGCAAACAATATTGGAAAAGGAATGGCACTGGCAGGGACATGGCAATGGGCTGCAGAAGCTAGACCTTGAAAATGTGAATTACTACCAACAGCTGGGGGTGAGGGGCATTAAAACAAACTAATTCTTACAGGTTTAATGTGACATTGTAATTTAAACTTTATAGATTGTATTAATAGCTAAGGACATTCCAGTATATTAAACTTTGTGTATGAATTGTGCAATAAAGTTACTTTGGAAGAAATGTCAAAGTTCTTTTAAGCTTAAGGGATCTCTTGGCTTTAATGGTACAGAAGTCTGAATTTTAATCGAAATACATTGTACAGGTGGTGTGGTTCAACATGTGCCGTGTCTCTTAAACTTTGAAGTGTGGTACTAGCAAGGTAGCTTAAACGCTCTTCTGCAAAAAAAGACACACTCTGATTCTGCTATTTTTCTTTTGTCAAAACAAATAAATTGGAACATTTTGCAGTGATGGGAAAATTTAAACAAACAACTCAAAAGGACAGTATTGAGGAGAAGGTTTCTTTGGGGAAAGGAATATTGTAATATTTTTTTCAGAAGTGTGATTTACTTTTTCCCCAATTATTCCATCATGTTTCTGATAGTATTTTAAAGCTTAAGAATGCTAAGTTTTGGAGTATTTTTCTCAGATTTCTCTTGGTTTTTAGTAAGAATTGAAGTGTATCATTAATGTAACTGTTTCCTCTGTCTAGTTACTGGGTTTATCTGTTTGGATCTTTTGAAGCCAAGTGAGAAATGGGAAAGGAATTCAGTAACAGATCAGGAAATTAAAATTGGAAAAGTTGCCAGTTGACAGACACACCAGGAGGTAAGCGTACTAAGTTTCAAGTTTAGACACTGTTTTAATGTAATGTGCATGTTGCTTTTTTTAGTGGGAAATGGCATTTAACTGAGAATTCTGTATGTAATTATAAAGGTTGTCTAATCCATACTCATTCCAGTTCTGGAAACACAGGGCTCCTCAGGGAGCCTTAAAGATGCTTCATATAAGCATATAAGCAGGTGCTCTATGTTAACCTGTCTGGCCATAATTCTTGACACTGCATATAAGTAATCATTTCGTATCCACTAAATACAGATGCTCTGTAATGGAAGTAATTAACTTGTGACTAATATCGCAGTAAGGAATTCTTTTTCTGTTAAACCATTCCTGAAGACAACTTATCATAGGGTTTTATCCTCACCTATTTTAAGTGGGTGAATAGGATTCTGCTTTTTTAAAAGTGCGTCTTAAAAATTAGTAATTTCAAAACTGAATTTTTTTAATTGTCATTTCTTCAGATGTTTGATTCTAAGGCCTAGAATTTATCATAGGGCAACACACTCTAAAGACTGAACATTCTTTTCCTGTGGCTGTGTGTGGCTGAAATTAACCTGAGACAGCGTTCTTTCCGGCAACTGCCGTGTAGGATCACGCGGCAACGCGTTTTGCTGTGAGTTAGTCATGTTCCAGTCAGTGCTGTGTGAGGGGTCTGACAACACATTCTGCTTCTGTATCTGTCTCACCTGTCAAGCAGGTGATTGCTTACCTATTGCTTACCTCACTAAACTAACTGGAGAGGTTAAAATATTAAACAAACACTGGTTGTGAGTCTGTAGGCCTAAAATTAAAAAAGTAAATAAATAATATTAGTTTTGTGAACTTGGATGGAACTTTGCCTGGTGTAAGTCTGGTGGAATGGAGAATACTATCCAACAGGTAATTAAATGAGCACTCTTCTCTGGTTGAAAGTGCTATATGAGTGTCAGAACTGCTTTCCTAGGTGATTGCTTACCTATTGCTTACCTCACTAAACTAACTGGAGAGGTTAAAATATTAAACAAACACTGGTTGTGAGTCTGTAGGCCTAAAATTAAAAAAGTAAATAAATAATATTAGTTTTGTGAACTTGGATGGAACTTTGCCTGGTGTAAGTCTGGTGGAATGGAGAATACTATCCAACAGGTAATTAAATGAGCACTCTTCTCTGGTTGAAAGTGCTATATGAGTGTCAGAACTGCTTTCCTGCTCCCAAATTCAGGTGTTTTGAATCTCAATTTAGTATCAAGATGTGGAGCCAGGGCAGGAGGAGACACTGGGGGCAGCCCTGCAATAAATACAATTTCACTTCAGGATGTAATGCCAGGTCTTCTGTCAACACAAATCGAACAGCTGGTTTTCATTAACACTGAATTGCTTTAAGTCAGCTAAGCTTTTAGCTCCTCCTCCTTAAATATTGCTTATTATCTTCTCTATCCCCAGTGGGCCTTGCTTTCAGTTTTCATGCTGTGGGTTTTCATTAACACTGAATTGCTTTAAGTCAGCTAAGCTTTTAGCTCCTTCTCCTTAAATATTGCTTATTATCTTCTCTATCTCCAGTGGGGCTTGTTTTCAGTTTTCATGCTGTAGTAGTCCATAATTTTGTTTTAGGCTTCTGTACTGCTAAAAGTTTCATTGCATAGGTTTTTAGTTCTACTTAAATGTGGCGACTTTAAGCAGCTACAATTCTATTGAGGGGTATACACACACACACACCCCCTAACCATAGTCTTTTATAATTTATTTATTTGTGTATTATTTAGTGCTTCCACAAGAGGCAAAAGATAAACATCATTTAACCCAGGCACAGAAAGAAAAAGCAGTTTTTACAGACATCCCTCCCTCCACCCACCTTCTTCAGACTTAAGATTTTAACTAGGCAAATAGAACAGAAAGGAAAAGAACAATGATATGAGAAGATAAGGTAGCTGTGGGGTGAGAAAAACAACTGTATTATCCAGTGGCAAATGCCCTAAGTTTGCTAAAGTAACAGCATGGAAGAGCATCACTAGAAATTGTTCAGATAGATTCATTGTAAACATAATATAATTATAATTTATCCTTAAAAGCAGCACAGAAGGAAGCGCAGAAAGCAGAACTTGTGGTCGTGGCCACCTGCGTTATTGTTGTATAATTATAATTTATCCTTAAAAGCAGCACACAAGGAAGCGCAGAAAGCAGAACTTGTGGTCGTGGCCACTTGCATTACTGTTATTACTGTTAGAATCCTGATTATTCTCCATTAACTGACTATTCAAATCCAGTTTTGGTTTTTTCTTCAATACAAGCTACAGACATATTAGAACCTGATGTGTTTGAGGTAAAGCTTAAAAGGTAAAAACATACACAAATTTGGTATAACATTAAGAAAACTAAATGAATGTAAATGACAGCAAAAGCAGCACTAATAGTACTCTTCAGGTGAAACAACCCAAGTAAAGCAATGTTTATCAGATGACAAGACTGAGAATTTAAATTCTTCAAACGGAGCATGTTGCTTATTTAGCCTGGACACAGACGCTTTTCTCAGGTAAATAATGTTATAACAATTTATTAGTAAGTTGTACTAATGAAAACAAGACATCAGCACTTTATGTAGCTAAAATGCTCAAACCACTGTTTTCAGATGTCATCCAAAGGAAACTACCCTGGCCAATTCTGATAATGCATTACATGAGGTGCTGAAGTGTGTAACAGTGAGGCCAACAGGCATCGGTGACTAAGAACTTTGGCCAGTTTTGTCATCACACAGTTGAGTAGCACAACTTCACACACTTCTTAGCTGCAGAAGGAATACAAAATCTGGCAGTAGTTGGACACTGAGGACATTAGGCTGGGTCACTGAGGAGCTCAAGTCAGGTCTCCCACCACCTGTCTGCAGCCAGAGTCTGGATGAAGAACATCTGCAATCACTGCAGCTCCCTATGCATGACGCTGGCTGTAATAGAGACTGAACGGCCAGAACTCCTGTGCCTCAGTTTCCCTCACCTTCCAGGCTGCTTTAGGTTTCATCTCTGTTAGGGGGCTCTTATAGGGCTGCACAGCTATAGGAGGTGACAGGGAATTCCTCCTTCCCTTACTTTGGTGCCATTCCCCTGCAATCACCGGTCAGGACAGCAGGCACATTACAGAAGTGTCCTTGTAGCTATTGCTTTGAACTGCCACAGCCTGAGGACAGAGTGTGTCTTTAATGCAGATATACATTTATGCCATTAAGGATTTGGTTAGCAATTCCTCCTTCCCTTACTTTGGTGCCATTCCCCTGCAATCACCGGTCAGGACAGCAGGCACATTACAGAAGTGTCCTTGTAGCTATTGCTTTGAACTGCCACAGCCTGAGGACAGAGTGTGTCTTTAATGCAGATATACATTTATGCCATTAAGGATTTGGTTAGTACTGGTGATGTCACCACTGCTACTTTTGGCTGCATTTACAAGGGAAACTCAGACCCGATCAGCTCTTGAAGGAAGGATGTAGGTGCCCCAGCCCCAGGAGAAGGGCCTGGCCTAAGAAATACAAGTGGCACGAGACATGTGGTGTAGTAGAACATGCAGGGTTCTAGGTCTAGTGAGGCTTGACTGGCAAATATATTCGTTAATTGCTTTTTATGCATTAATTCTGAATTACTGTTCTAAGATGCCTCCTCTCCACCTACCCAGGTCTCTAATGGTAGGCTGGAGATCGTAGTTTAGGGACTGTAGGCCATCAAATTAGGGTAGTGTTGGGTGTACAGGCATCAACATCCTCTGCTGCCCCTTGCCTCAGGTCTTTTTTGGTGTGAAATTACATGCAGCTTCTGCAGTACATGGATGCTATCATGTTATTACCTTTAACCCTTTCTGAACGAGTGGTACAGTGTCTTAAGAAGGATGATCAAATAGAAAAAAAAGATTGAAAGTGATAAATATTCCAGTAACTGGATTTTACTAGCCACTCCATCATAAATAAAAAGTTTAACATAACATAATCTGAAGAGACATATTTCAAGTGGGCTAGCTTCTGTATAAATAGTTTGACTTCACATTCAACTCTAATTGACTAAAATACAAACTAACACAAATGTGTAAAAATATGTCAGAAGTAGGACCAGAACCCAGGTCTGGAGTTTCTACCACTGATTCGTAAGAACACTTCCTTTGTTCAAGTAAAAAATTTCTCTTTACATGCAACCAAAATTATCTGCATAAATTTCCAAGTAATTTGAACCGGCATATCCACAGATTCCCCTTACAAAGCAATAAAAAAGTGTTCTCAACTTTCAAGGCAAAGTATTCATGATATAATTAGACAGACTCATTATTACAATGTACAAGAGTGATGATTTTGACACCATGTTTTCTATTTACTAGATTAAAAAGCATTAATCTGCTGTTTTTCATAGACATCCTACGTGACAACAGGAAGTAATTAATTAGTCATTAAGCAAGAGTGCAGGATTTTGGTTTTTCTTGTTTTCCAGTATAACTGCTGAAACACTAAGATAAAAACTGTGTCAGAACACCCTCCAGAATGAAAGGGCAAAATGAACTTACAAGTGGTCAATGGGTGATGGTACTGAGAGAGGCAGGACAACAGCAGGGGGTGTGTGCACTGTCCGCACCTGCGCATCCTAAGGCGCCTCTCACAGATGCACTATCAATATTCTCTGTTGTTTTCCAAACTACAATATAGTGCACACTTAAGACAGTATGAAACAAAATATTACATGGTTCTGAGCTTGAATTTAATATTTACAGCAATCTTACAAAGCCTCATGGTTGTGGAAAATGAAATTTTTGCAATGAGAATAATGCAATAAAAGATAACAGCAAACGCTGTTTACCTTCCATAGATACTCTGTTTTCCTCTCTACTGTTACGTCTTGGTGGCATCAAAGACATGATTCAATGTTAATTAGCATCATATCCTGCTTAGGAGTGAAATACTCTGGTTTCTTGGAGCTTGTAACTACTTTGACAGCGTAGAAATCTCTTCTGTTCTCATGGCATCAGACAGGAAGCTAAGTTCATTGCACAGTGTCTCGTACCTGAAGGCCATCCGGATCTGGGCAACATTTGTCTTTCGAATGTCATTTCCCTCAGGTCCTTCTTTACAGTAATTCACCCCTAAGAATTTCTGTTTTTCCTGTGAACAGGATTAAACATAAGAAGGAAGAAGTCAGCTCAACTGCTTTGATTTATTGTGAGGCTGAGTATTTGTTAGTTGAATGACTCCAGTGCAAGTGAAATGAGCAGCTTCAACCCGTTGGCCATTGAACTTTACCTCAGTCTTAACCAGTTTGAGAGATATTAAGGCCAAAGTTTATATATAAATTACTCAGCGGTGTGCTCGGTCTGGCTTGCCAAAACCCTTTGTGCTAGTGCTGGGTCTTCACTGCTACATCTTTTAGGTGAGAGGTCAGAAAGAGGCTTAGGTTTCTTTTGTTAGTTAAATGTTGCACAAGAGGAAAAGCAGTAGTTGCCACTAGAGAATGTTGGAAGAAACAACAGAACGTACTTCTAAAGCCCTTTCAAATACCAGCTCCTTGAGAGGAATGTTTGAGTGACAGAGAAGAGAGGATGCTCTAAAATAAGTCCTAGAGAAAGCAATGCACGTAACAGAATTTTAAAGCCAAAAGAATATTTTCTATAGTAGCCCCTTCTAGGCAAAAACATGTCTGGCTTACGACAGGTGCTTTGTTTTCAGTCAATGCAAGACATAATGTATCAAATTACTAGTAAAGGGGTATCACTCAAATAATTACAGGTTTAGGACTGGATGCAGAACTGAGTATAAACAGGCACCTGATCTCTCTGCCTGTTTGGGAAATTCCAAAACAAAGCTACTGAGGAAAAAGGTAGCCTTAATATTTTTTTTTAATGTAAAACTGCATAGCAGATAGTTTGTGAATATTTCTATAAAAAGAGACCAGGGATGTGCACAAATGCATTACTATTCAGATTTTAGACTACTGACTTCCCAGTCACCTACATGCCCTAATATTCCCAAAAGATATTTTTTTTCAGCCTTAATTACCTTATCTGACAATCCACTCTGTAACACGCTGTTTCTTGCTATTTCACACAAGTCACAGGTACTCAGTTTCCACACCTGGGCTGCAATAGCATATTCTTCCATGAGAGCTTCCTGTAGCACCAAAACACGTTTAATATTAAATTGTATGTAAATAAGATATAAATGGCTGTGTACTCATTAATAATTAAGGCGTTTATACATGCTCTTTAGATAGCTGTGAAAAATTAGAGATTTAAGACTTTAACATCACAATTGCTAACAAACAGAATTGTTTATTTCCAATTTCCCAAGGGTGAGTGTTAAATGAGTAATAGGTACCGGGTACCCAGTTATTTAGTCTAAGAAATTGCAGCCTGCAGTCCAGATCCTTAGAGGCATTTATTAGGCAATTTCACATCAGATCCCGGGGGATATAATATAATCCTTGGAGATCTTCTGGTAAATCTTTAATGAATATTACAGGGACAGATAGCAGGGCAATTTCTCACTCCTGAGGCTGGGTCTGACTCTAGTGGGCTGTCACAGCTGAGGGTCTTCCACGCTCTGTGTAACTCTGGTGCTGCACCACATCGGTGCAGAAAGCCCCCCCAAAAGCTCTCTGTCTTTTCTAGCAGAGATAGGTCACGTTTGGGTGAAGCACACCAGAGCTCAGCTTGTCTTCAGAACACAGACAACTGAGCCACGTACAGGCCGCTCTGAGGCACAGCATCCCTCACAGCACCAACCACCAAATTGGGGCATAAAAACCAGGGACCAGGCGTTTCTGTCCCGCCAGGCCACCCAAGGACAAGAATCAGTGTCTGTTCCCTGAGCAAACAGCTCATACGTCATCTTCAGAGATTCCACATCATGTTTTTGGTAACGTACTTCCCCAGATTTATTAGTAAGGAAACTGGACTTTCCTGGCACTCTAGAGGATTGTTTATGAAGGCTCAAACCTCCCTTCAGCCTCATCCTTCATTCTATACTTCAACAGCCAACACTGGAGAAGCAAGAGTACAAAAGAAACATAATTAGGAAATCAGACATTTCCCCTCTGAAACCTAACAGTGAACAGTAGACTGAGAATGAGGAAGAATAATGAATGAAGTGACTGAAAGACATAAAACTGTATATCCTAAGCAATGACATAAAAGAGCTTTCAGGTCATTCTGGGCCTATGTGGTGCTGTTGCCAAATTCAAAGACAAGCGCTTTTTGCAATTCTTACCTTTGTATAATGGAACTGCATAGGGTCATCTGTGGAAAGAGACACGTGGAGGCCCTTGTGGAGAAATTCTCGTAGTGGATTTTTTGAGTACTCCAGGAAGAGGCTGTTGTTACTCAGTGGAGACATAGCAATGGGTATTTGTGCAAGATAATAAAGATACTGGAGGACAGGGCTCTGCAAAACAGAACACAATCAATCAGCATTTAATGATACTATGGGATAATGAAAAAAAGGAGGATTTCCCTTGGATGAAATGGAAACAGCATTACAGAGGGAGGACTAAGACAACAAAAATTTAGGTTGACATTAAACTCTAACTTCTTTGAGAAAATATTTAAAAGTCTGAATTTTAAATGTTAGTGATCTTTATAAAAATAATGTACATCCTTCAACATATATGTCATCTTTTTTAAATATGGTACCTGATATTACTGTAGATTACTAAGTATATCTGACAATTAAGGGCACTGCATTTGATATTAACTGCACACTTCACCCCAAAAACCTGAAAGTCACAGATAACAGATGTGCAGGAAGTACTAAGGAATTTGTTATCTTCAAGACTGCAGTAAATTTTAGGAACAGAAGTAGTTTGAATTTATTAGAAGTCGTGTTTTGCTGTTGCAC